AAGGACAGGAGTTTGGATGAATACAAGTGCAACGATGACATGAACTTTGGTTCAAGGTTCAGGGTCGTGATCCTATGAAACTCTGCACTGACCTGGATGGGAGAGGACAAAAAACCAAGGACAAAAAATCTGAAGGCCAAAATTCTGATTCAATCAAAAAAAAAAAAAATCTTTAAGTGGAACTACCATTTTTTGCAACCTGGACCTTATTTTCTAACATGCAAAAGATTAATTTACTCATCCAGACATAAATCCATATAAGTGGAGTTGTTCAGTATGCAGACTAAAGCCTTAACATAAAGTATTATCTTCCACTAAGCTTCTAAATTTTATGTTATGAATTGCTTGCACTATTTCCCTGTGAGATTGTATAATCTTGAGGGAAGAGGCGGAGCCAGGTTGCCCTCTGAACCATCGTCTGCCAGGCAGCGATGCGAGAGGAACACACCTCCACTGAAGTGGCGCAAATATTCAGAATCGCGTCAGCGGCTTTACAGAGAAAGCCTTTCAGCTCCTCTGGCAGCTCTGCTTCCTCCACCTTCCTGGAGATGACAAACGCTAGCAAGGCAGTGTTGTTAGTCACTGCAGCTGACTGAACAGTGCATTGATGTGCGCGATCAGTGAACCTTGCTATCAGCTGGTCAAGTTTGGCGGGATGGGCCGGTCGCTGTCCAACGACCTTGGTCATTTTGGTGCCGAAAACTGAAGCGAGGCTCGGCTCTAGAGGGGGAACAGGCGGAAAACTCCGGTCTGTGAAGCCCTCTGTGAAGCCCTAGGTAGAGACCGCGCTCTAATCTTCGCTGGCTCTGCTGCTGCCTCAGAGAGGTAGGTCATCACCGCCGGGAACTGGGGCCAGATGGGATCTGGGCAACGAGAGTGAGCGGAGCCATACCTTCCCGCCAGATAATCCAATGGGGGGGTGGAGCAGGCTGAGGGACAGAAAGTCCCTTCTCACCAGCTGCCTCCTGGATGTTGCCAGGCAGATCCAGGAGCAGCGCACCAACAACTGGGAGCGGCGTCCTCGCCGACATGTGAAGGCCAGGGATGGATGAGCATCCCTTGAAAAAGGCTGACCTCCACTGCTTTTCCTCTGGCGGGAGGAGCTAACAGGAGCGGCAATAGGATTAAGGTGTGAGGGCGAGGTCTGCATGGTGAGGACCGAGGCAGCCCACGCAGACGGCATGTCGGTCATACGACATGATGTAGCCGGTCTGGCAGGATGGACACAGACGGATGGTCTCGCTGGACATCTTCTGGCTGGCTGAAGAAAAACGGCAGAGTCGATTTCCTGGTCTCACCATAACTTATACTAGACCAGGGTGAGGCCCACACAGCAGGTGGGCGTGGACTAAAATACTTCAGTGCTGCGCGCACAAGGGGAATACCCACTTAAAGGGCTGCGCCTATACTCATAGAATCTGGGGTTACAATACGTAACCAACGTTTCATAAAAATATTAAATTACTCTTCACTCTTTACTCTTCAGTAAAATCTAGTCTGTCGTTATGTGCTCCAGAGTTAGATAAGTGAGACAAAGGCACTTTGCAATCAGCCCAGTCATTCTTCAGTCAGGTTACATTAGCTTAGCCTAAAACAAGTTAAGTGAACGGAAATTATTTATCGTTCCATAGGCTTGGGAATGGTTTCAATAAGAACCATTCTGGTTTTGATTCAGATTCCTCATTCTGATTCAAATTCCTAGCGATTCTAGAGTCTTATGACAAATTAAAGCAACCTGGCTGCTGCAAGATCATCAAAATCACTAGGATGGTAGCAACATGTTTTTTCTCACTTCTCTTATGATGGGGGATCTAACAGACCAAATTTTATTTACAAGTGGATATCCCTTTAAATGTACACTTACTTGGGAGACGTCAAACAACGCCGGCCATCTGTCCTTGATGTCGCTGACACTCAGCTGTTGGCTGATAATATCATGTCTTCTATGTGCAAAGGTTTTGCACATTAAATCCTTGATGGCTGTGCTGTTTTTCTTCTTACACTCATCAATCAGTTGTTGTCGCTCCAGCTCTTGCTGTTCTTTACCATCTTGTCCTGGATAGTGTGGCAGAAACAGCACTTCTCCTTTCCGCGCCTTCTTTATGTTCTTCGCTGGAGCCTTGTCATCAGGGTGCTTGTTCTTCAGTGAGTTGCAAGTAACCTCTGGAACTCCAAGACTTCGTAACTTTGACCTGTAATTTCCCATCTTGTATTTAAGACTATACATCCATCCCATCCAGCCATTACGACTGCCTGGCTCTGTCAGACATGGGTGCTTTTTGACCAGAGCCTCTGCCACTTCTCCAATCTGAAGGCCAGTAGGGTAGGCTGTGTAGCTGTACATATAATCAGCTAATTTTTCCATTATATCTGACTTGACTGAAGTATTGTTCAGCACAGTGCCATTTTGAACAAAGACTTCATTGGCATTTTTCAGTACAGTCTCTGTTGCCACAGAGAAAAGTGGAATGACAATTTCATCTGGCCATGTAGTCTTTAGAGGACTTTGAAGAGGGGAGAGTATGACAGTGTTGTCTGAAGACAGAGATGATCCATCTGTTTGGTCCTCTGTGGTTTTATAGGTTGAAGAGCTTGAACTTTCATTCAGTGAACTTACATCTGAGGGATTTTCACACTGAGGAATCAATGTAAGCACTACTGATGGAATGACCACAGCTTTGACTGTACCCCTATCTTTGATTTGGTTGGGAGAATGAAGTGTAAAGAAATCTCCAAATGAGTCATCATAATAGTGCAATATGAAATCCTCAACTAGCCCAAATGTCTCTCTCACTGTCTCATGCAACTCCTCAACAGTCCTGGGTATTCCTGAAGAGAGCACAAGCTTCTCACTCTGTTGTCCAAAAATTACTTTCAAGGCAACGGAGTCCATCTGCAGAATAAAAACCACAAGAAAAAAGAAAAAGAAAGGGGGTATCTGAGTCTTTCCCCTTACACTAACAAACAATGTGACGTTTTATTGACACCATTTGCTTGCCTTCAACACGATATGGTGTTAAGGGGTAAGTGTCACCAAGTACTCTGGGATGTATTAAGGTCATTTTCCCAGAAGGATCCAGAATAAATGCCCTAAAATGTTCATCATACCAGCTGTTGAGCAACTTCACAATGAAAAGAAATTCATTGCTTAAGACAACAATCTGTAAAATCTCCACAAAGTCAGGTAAGCCACAAGTAGATCCATGAGGCAAAACCATTCCTGAGGCATATTTAGTTCCATGATGAGTCAGAGAGTTGGTCAAATTCACATAGGCTTGTGTTGGATAAAGTTCCTTGAGACACTGCTGTATTTCTACATCAAGCAGTTCCAATGGAAGAGATGATACTTTAGTGACACACACTGATGGCTTCAATGCATTACCATCTGAATAGTATGCCATCATCATCTGGTGCTTTGAGGCAAGTGACAATAGTACATTTCTGAAGCTGTTTGTGTGTTTAACAACCTTCTTAAAGAAACTATGTTTACCCTCAAAGCGCATAGTCCAGAGGCATACTAATGGACCAAATCCTCTGATCAAGTCAGGATAATGCTCCAAAAAATGGTGTTTTGGAGTTAGTTTTTGCTCTGGGAAAACCTCCAATAGCCTGTTGCGATGTTCAGATATAAGTGTGTCCAAGTAGCAAATACTTTCCTCTCTGTGAATAGGGGACACAACAAGTTCAGTTATATCTTTTAGAGTCATAAGAACTTGCCATGCTTCATCATTTTTGGGAATCTTTTCCCCAATAATAAAAGGTAATAGTCTCAATAACGTCCAATTTTCATGTGCGTTGCCACCAATGCTTTTGCGAGTGGAAAAATTTAGGGGGATGATTTGGGGGCGATCTGTTTTATCGGTCCATTTGTAAGGAAATTCTGTTATGAAGTTATTGAGTTCAGTTAAGGAAAAGTAACGTTTACGGATAAACACATGAAGGCATAATGCTAATTCTAGTGGAATTATGCCTTCAAAAAGGTCGTGCAAAAGATCTGGAGGATACCCTGTGACAAAATGGAAATATTTTAATTTCCCCGTTAATGGACAACCTTTCTTCACACCACAAAAATGAACCGAGGAGGAATTTTCCTTTATGGTTTGGACATGTAGATCATAGTTCTCTTTTGTTCTTGGTGGAAAAGCTCCTGAACGAACTTCTTTTTGCTGAAAGTCTGAATGGTCTCCAAGGCAAAATCTACAGATGTAATGTCCAGAAAAGCTTTCCACGAGTCCACTAAGAGAATGAGCGCCAAGATTGTCAGCACAAACACAAAAAACAGTGCCCCTGATATATCTACCAAGCTGTGAACAAAAAATCCCGTCTCTCTCTAATGTTATGAGATCCTTTAAAAGTGGCTCGAGAACAGTTTCATAGCCAAAAGTTTTAACATCACTTGCCTTACACAGGAGAGCCAATTGAATTGATGTTAGCTGTGATCTCAATTCAGTTGGTATATCAGCAAGTACCCAGTACACAGCTGTGACTTTGTGTTTTTTTCTTGAAGTCCCAAGTGGATTACAAATTTCAAAGTCATCCACATAGAGAACAAGGGAAATACTTAAGTCCTCAATAGCACAAAGTTGGTTTTGCTTGAAATATTGTCCATCGTGGAAAGAGGATAACTGTGAAGTGTTCAAATGTCTAGTTAATATACTGTTAACATCTTCTTTACTCAGTAACAGCTGCAAGGACTGAAGAATAGGCACATACTGAAAAGTGGAATTCTTTTCTGGATCCAAACAGTATTCTACTGGTTCAATAACACAGAAGTTTTCCTTGAAATATTTCTGTCTCTTATATCTTGAAGCAAAGGGACCATCAGGACTAAGGGCTGCACATAAAGGACTACAGTGACATATTTTTTCAGCCAATTCACTGACAAAAGACTGATCAATATTACAGTTATTCTTAATAAGAATATCACTTATTGACTTTGGAATATACTGAAGTGATAATGTGCAGATATAACTGAGCTGTTCCACCAAGTCATCCACACATTTACCAGAAACATTATAGATGCTTTCCAGTTTTAACAAGAGCACACCAATATTTTTCAAAATTTCATTTGTTGTTTCCCTTTCACAACCAAGTTCAGTGGTGACATCCAAGTCCTCGTGATCTTCTAATTCCAGTGCTGGTAAGACGATTTCATTAGATGTACTGACAGTTTGCTTTGAAATCAAGTTAGTTTTAAAGTGCTTCCATGAACAAAATCTGTGCTTTCGACTTCTGTGAGTCGCATAAGTCCCACAAATGTTTGTCTTAAACTCACAACCATCAAAAACACACTCTATGGTTTCATGGCTTTTCAAATGGGAATTTATATGTTGAAAATAGTCTTTTGTGTTTGGGTAAAAAGAGTCACAGATTTTACATCTAATAGTTGGAAGGACCTCACACTCTTCCGTTTCATGCGAACTGTGAGACCTAGACAAGTGTGAGCGTAAGGCACCCCATGTCTTAAAAGAGCAAGGACAATTCAAATGAAGACAGGGTATGGAATAGCCATGACCAAATGTACCATGTTTCACTCGATAATGTTTGAGTAGACACTTTTGATGCTCACACGTAGAGCTGGGCGATAGAACGATAACGATATGTATCGCGATATAACTTTTACTCGATAGAGAAATTAAGCTATCGCGATAGACCTCGCCGCTCTTGTCCTCTTAAAAAAAAAAAAATAAAAAAAAAGGTCAGCCAATCCAAATTAAGTAGCGCAGAGCCGAACCAATCACAGCCGCAGCGTCACGTCGCGTGACTTGTTACGTACAGCACAAGTGCCAAGCCGCACGTGTGTTTGTTTGGGAAGCAGCCAGCGGGTAATGGAGCCAGCGGGTAATGGAGGAAATGAGTGTGCCGACTAGAAAAATCAACCGAGCGTGACCGAAGAGAAAACAGATGATGGTTCCAATGCCGGAGAGATTGTCGAACGGAAGAGCCATAGAAGTTCCGTAGTGTGAAGGTATTTCGGCTATTTCAAGTCTGACAAAAAACAGAGTAGCGTGCACTGTAAATTGTGCCGAAAGCAAGTCTGGAAATACAATAAACTGGTGCATGCGTCACACTGTGCGCCACGTTATTGTTTCGGTGAAATGAATTTCTACAATACTGTTACTGTTAATTCTACTCTCTGCAGTGTTTAAATGCTTACATATACACACAGTTACTGTCTCTCCACACATACGACTCGGTTCTGCTTCTATGCCGCAGCTTTGTTTACTTTTTCCCACCGAGGCTTCTAGACTTCTGATTGGCCAACATTTCTGCACGGTTAGGAATCTAGCGCCACCTGCTGCTTTGGCATGTTCATAGCAGCGTTTTCCTTCATTTCTGCCTTTATGTGTGGACGGGATTATTTTTTAAAACGAAAACGGAAAATCTCCGTTTTCAAAAATACCCGTGTACGTGTGGACGTAGCCTCAGTCTCTGACTGGAAGCGCTAATTCGTCATTCGGCTTTTGTCAGACTAAAGTAACTGTTAAAACTGTTTGAAAAGCTCAGCTATACAACAAGGAGAGATTGAGAATTTCCTTTTAGTTCTCAGTTTATTTGATATTGACAAAAGTTAGTCAGTTTTGTCTGTTCTTCTGTAAAACAAACTAAGATTTATTTTTAGAATTAATATTTTGTTTCTAAGTGGAATTGACAGTTTAGTAGTCTGTTTCGTTTGTTCTATTTTGAAACTTAAACGCTTTAGCGGCTGCCTTTTGTGTAGTTTGCAATATTTGCCTTTATTTATCTGAAAAAGTCTCATGTTTCTTTAGTACATCTACCCTGTTGAACTTATTATGGGAAATAAATATTTAAATAAAAACAAGCTGCTGATTATTTCACATTTTACTTGTGAGCAACGGCACATTTAAATCTTACAAATATAGTTATTTGGCTTATATCGTGATAGATATCGTTATCGCCTGAAATGAAAAAAACATATCGTGATATGAAAAAATCTCATATCGCCGCTCTACTCCTCATGTTTGCAGAGTTTACACTGCCATCTCATCACCTGTGACCTAAAAAATTGTGAGAAAATATGTCTCACAGTATGAAGATGACAGAATGGTGTATAACCATATTTACACAGTTTTTGTATGATTAACTGATTGAATAACCAATACTCACTACCAATTCAGGTGGAGGATACAACTTACAAATAAGTCAACATGGAACAAAGTACAATACTTAACCACATTGAAATAATCTGAATCACATCACCACGCTGTATAAATAAAAAGATAGTATGGTGACACTAGATGACAGACCATGAACTCATCAATATATTTACCGAACTGAAAAATTCTCAAAATTTAGATTTGGCATTTGTATGACTAAAATAACCCACCACAAAACCAGTATAAATATTTAGGTGGTATCACCATCCACTACTCAGCTTGTATAAAACAATATCATATCATTCCAAAATTTAACACATCAAGTCCTCTGAGTAAAATTACCTGCTTTACTTTGTAGTTGATGCAGATTTTTTTCTCCTGGTGGTGAAGATGGTGCTGAAAAAATACAAATCAAAACTTTATCATTACAAAACATGTCACTGAGTAATCTGCCATAACATCAATCTCTTATAAGAAATTTTAGCTTGGATTGAAATAAACATTTATTTATGTAAATTGGGAGTAACTATACTGGAAATGATGGTACTTTTGGCTTGACCCAAAGGACCAAAGCTTTTTTTTTTTTCATTATTTTCTGGGATCTGAAAGGAAGTAGGGCCCCGAGTCTAAATTTACTTAAGGCCCCATAGTACTTTGGACCGGCCCTGGATGAGGTAATCTGCTGACCCGGGCGGTCCTCTCAGCGTTCTCTCAAAAACTGGCCCTGTTCGGGACAAAGCTGAAAGCAGCGTCTTATATGCTCTGAAAGACCCCACATAGAACAAGAAAGCTAAGCAGCATGGTTGCTGCTATGAACTGTTCCGCGGGCAGGTCTTCTTAGTTACCAAAGCCATTGATGACGTCTGTTCATCTCCTCCTGAACAACCTGACAGAGTGAGTCAGGCCGCGTGACTACCGCAGCTCCCGCACCGCGACTCAACAGGGCCATTTTCTAGAAATGTCTGAGCACACCTGCTTTCACGTGGTTCCTAAAATGCCCCCGATTAAACGGTCAGGTCGCTGGTACCGGGACATTCCGGTCAAATTACCCGGAACGCAGATAGCGACTCAGAACGTAAAAGGATAAAAGGGCGCGGTTTCCCGCCGCCTTGACTGGAAGACGGGTTGAAAACTTAAATTAACGTGCACAAACACGCTGCGAAAAGTGAGCCACCATGACAAACGCTTTCTTCAGAACATGTTATAAAAGAACGGTGTGGATAAAGACAGCTAATGTAAGAATTGGTCACTTACCTGAAAACGTTACCAAGTCTGCAGTGGATGTGTGTCTGTCTCGTTCAACGTGCAGAAAATCTCCCATGAGGCCATGCTCCTCGCGCGCGGTACATGCCAAAGGTCATTAGTCTTACTCAAAGTTTTAAGTTAGTATTGGGGGACAAAATTATATTGATTTTGAACCATTAATAATTAAAGTTAAAGACAATGATAAGTATGAATACCAGTGTCTCAGTTATTTTGAGTACTTTCTATGAGATATATTGAGTAGATTTAAATAATGCACCCTGTGTTTCAAATACAGAATTTTTTCTTTTAAATAAACTTGAACAAAAGAGCTCAGTTCAACTCAAAAACTGGTGTTGAAAATTTAAGCATTCTTTTCAGTATTTTCAACTCAAGATAACACTTTTGTGATTTTCAAAGATTTAATCAAGGTCATCTAACTTAGAATTATAATGATATTTACTAAGCCCCTGAATAATTTTTTAGGGTGTATAGAATAGCAGTGGGACCTGGTTAAACACCTATGAGTGTAAAAATAAATAAATAATCAAGTACGGTGAATCAAGTGATCATTATACTTGCACATATCTCATCAGTCTTGCACAAAATTAAAAAACCAGTTTATCTAAGCAGAATGTTGATCCATACCTGCACAGTGTTATATTTTTAGGTGTGTTAGTAATAACTTTATTTATAAAACGCTTTCAGACAAAGTGCTGTACAGCTATTTGAAAAAAAAATAAAATAAAAATGGGGCACGAAAAGAAAAAGCATGTTCCCCAATAGTTTTTTTTCTTGCTCTAGGAACATTTAAAAGGCCAGAATCCTGGGATTAGAGAGCACAGGATGGAACATAAAGGTGCAAAAGACCAGAGAGCTATGAAGTAGAGATGGACCAATCCGATATTACGTATCGGTATCGGTCCGATACTGACGTAAATTACTGGATCGGATATCGGAGAGAAATAAAAATGTAATCCGATCCATTAAATATCAAAAAAGCACCTCACAAAACTTGCGACACGGCGTAACTCGGCTCATAACCGTAGCACGTCGGAGCAGTGTGCTCACGTGATAGAGCGGCTGTGTGTATTTGTAGCCTCGCTACCAAACCAGCATTTCATCTCCGAGGAAGTGATCCCAGAGAGAAGTAAAGCAAGTGTGTAAGTTCATCTCTGAATGTTTGTAAAGCATTCCCACGTTAAGCTTAACAACCGATATATGGAGCGACTGCCTCTTCTCTCTCCCTCCCTCTCCTGCTGCTACTTCAATCATGAAACTGATCAATGATCAGCTGATCGGTGTCGAAGCAGAGGCAGAGGCCGGACCAGGCGTAGCAGAGGCCGGACCAGGCGTAGCAGAAACCGATGACGAGGCGGCCACAGGTGGCGGCTGAACGGGCCCCTCGGACCCTCCAGCGGTCTTGCTGCTCGTAGTATTACTATCAGCTGGTCCATTTACAGTCTCTTTAGTCTTGGCCGGTAAAACAGATATTTGCACGGACTCTGGCTCTTTGATACGATCGCCTCTCTTATGGCTGAGCCCGCAAGGCAGCAGTTCAGTAGTGGGCATGAATCTCGCCCATGGAAAAGACATGTGGAGCAAAAGCACAGTCACTCACCTCCATTTCGGAAGGGGCACGAGATGAAACGAGACCCTCCCCAACCTCCAGCTGCCGCGCGGCGCCACGGTGACGTCGCCGTCGCCTCTTCCCTGAAGGCGACGCGGTGACGGAAGCTCCGGTTGCAGGGGAAGTGAAAGGGGGCAGGCCCTGGCAGCTCCGCGGGCCCCCAAGAGCCAGGCGCGTTCCCCGAAAGACTTGCTCACAGTCGGGGGTCAGCCACGGCTTCCACCGGAGCTTCTCCTCCAGCTCCGCGAGAACCACCTGCTCCCGTTCAGCAATGTCCTGGGCAGTGATTTGTGGGGACATCTCCTCAGAGCCGAAAATCACTGCTGACACGGACTCGGAGGCGGCTTCGGCCAGCGGTTCCGGCCCAGGCGACTGCTCTGACGACACCCCGGACTCTGGCTGCGCTGACGTGCGGCGGCGTCGTGGGCGCCGCTTCCTCCTAGCAGCGGCTGTTGACACAGCATTGATAGCTGTGACGGCTGGCTCCTCATCCTCCGACCACATCCGTGCCAGAAAGGAGGCTGGAGAAGCGAAGTCCGAACGAAACGGCGAGGGTGAGCGGCTCGTGTACGAAGGAATGGATGGTAGCGACCCCAGGTTGCGCCCGAGTCTCAGTGAGCCAACCTTAATCACCCCGGAGCTGCAAGATGGTGGAGGCGGTGATGGGGAAGTTGCGTGACAGCGGAATGGTGGTGACGCAGCCCGTGCGCTGGGCACCTGCTCCTGAGGATGGGGTTGGAGGATGGTGCGGAGGTAATCAGAAATCAGGGGGGGTAGCGCCTCCCACAGCCAGGGGAACACGGTTACGCTCACCCGCAATGGGTGAAGCAACTCCTCCGTATCCTCCTCCCCGGAACGCTGCATCCACTGACAGCATAGCGCTTCCACTGCCTGAACGACCTCCCTTCTCTGTGTCGCTGGGTCCATACTGGTCGCGTCGTACTGTCACGGACCGCCGTGGCAGACCGTGTGGAGTGAGTGGAGGACCCAAGAGCAAACAGAGGTGAGGACACAAAACCGGAGTTAACAGAAGGCGAGCCTTTATTTAGGGCCGAAAGCTTAAGGAACAAGGCAGCAAAGCAACTGAGGGAAAACCTGAACATAGACTGGGAAAACTATGGCTAAACAAAGTACAAACTAGGACTAGTCAAGGCTGGGAAACTATGACAAGGGGTAGGGGAGATAACACAGACGACGCGATGCAGACTACATGAAACACAGAGACTAAATACACATGAGGGATGATCAGGGGAAGTGGCCACACATGGGATCACAGCTGACACACATGAATCTAACGACAGGACAGGAGGGTGCAACTGAATACACTGACAATGAATACAGACTTACAAAGTAAAACAGGAAACATGGAAATTAGACATGACAAGAACTAAACATAACCGCGCAGAAGGGACTCATGACCCAGGGAAACTTAGTACAGGGGAGATGACATAACTGACAGCATGAACTTGACAGTACAAGACACACAGACATAAACACACGAAGGGCAAGGGAGACTTAATGCAAGGGTAATATATACAAATGGCTGGGCTACCTTAGAGAACCTAAACAAACCATAAACATCAAAATAGGCTAAACATAACACACTGGGTCACACGACCCAGGACCATGACACTATGTTTGAATCTCGCTCAATTATTCTGTTAAGAATTCTCTCTGCCTTTGTCAAAGAGTTGTCTACTAGGAAAAAGTGAAATAAATATAAGTGCAAAGTCCCAACGTGTACTAGAGTACACATTAATAAATTAGTCATGTTCTCTGTGAAACTAAATAAGCCTAATTTTTATTGTTTATTTTTGAAAATTAATATAAATCTGAAATTTGAAAACATTTTAAATGTGAATATCATGCTTACCTTTCTTTCTTCCATAAAATGTGCTTGTGGGCGTGCCAGCCATTTTGAAAAGGAGGGACAAAAAACAATTGGCAAGACCTGATGAGGATTCGAACCTGGCCCTCCTGGTCTAAGGGTAGCTATTTAGCTCACTGAGCCAATGTCATTCTCAATTGGCAAGACCACTCCCCCTCACATGGGATATAATTTTAAAGGTACTGTTGTCCTCTCTAAGAAACATCAGGACTTAGATGAGTGGCAAGTAGGCTATGAGAGCTACAAGCAAAAACTAAATGTGTACTACAGTGCACAAAAATGAATTACTGGGTCTCAGGAGGTTATGAGGGACATTTATAACACGAAAAATCCCACAAACCTTAAAGTGCACTTGAAAAGCTCACACAAGAAGGCTAACCTAGCTTACCTTGAAGAGCTCATCAGGGGGAGCACACTCCCCCTCCTTGAAGAGCTCCCCCACTCAATCCGCGCCCCCAGAAAACAGCTAACCCCAGATAAGGCAGCGTGATGCATCCCGAGACAACAGGACTGGGATATCTACATAACTGTGTGAGTCAATTGCCTTCAAAAAGTTTATCAATTCACTTGAACCAAAATTAGGAGCACCCGGTGCTGCAAGAGTTAATAGTCTCAATACCCAAGGATAAGCAGAAGAGCATGATCTGATATGATGGAACTGGGATTTGGTTACACTTAATTTTTGCAAAACACAACTAAAACTATAACTGAACACTAATAAAACTAAAGAACTAAGGATTTTCAGGAAAATAAAAACTAGACTAAACTAGCAAATAATTGGTAAAAACTATTACAACTGGTATAAAATTGAAAATCTGGAGTCGAAACTAAATAAAAAAGAAACTAATGAAAATGGCAAAACGATTAAAACCCTGGTAGCAGAGATTGGCAAATCTGACCAGGAAATGTTATAAAATGGATTGTCGGAACAGTCAGCGTTAAAGTCACCTTTGACAGTCCAGACTAAGATGGCGTTGGAACATCTTCAGGGCGGAAAAGGGTTGGTGTGACCAAGGTGTGGTTTGGCTTGTTGTATGTATATTTAAGATCATATGGCTCTGGATGGACCAGTTACCAGGGCATGGAAGGAGGACAGACTCATTAAATGAGGAGAAGGAATTTTCTGGGATTGGAGATCCTCTGGGTGAGTAGTTGACTAAAAGCATGCATAAAATAAAAGCTATTTTTTGTTATTGATTGGTAATAGATTGATAATTGGCCACATTTACAGCTGTATTGACTTGTTGTGGGCGCAGTCTACTTCATATTTAAGGACTCTAATTAACAGATTGAAAATGGAGACATTAAAGGAAGAGTATGCGGTGCCACGCTGTCAGACGCCAGTGACGGTGGGACTCAGTTATGAATCAGGTGAGCTGGATTCCTGGCTGATTCAAAACATGGACAATGTTGTGTCTCCATAAGGGACAGTTAGCTCCAGGAGATAAGTGGCAGTCAGTGCCTGTCCTCGAGAAGGAGAGCATGTTCCTTTGCTGTGTCTAAAGTAGTCAATAGGTCCATATTGAAGTGAAGTTCATATTGTTACAGGTTTTGTTTCTTGGCAATTCTGCAGACGCAGGCTCTGGGCAGAGCCGGGAGTTGAACAGATAGAACATGACATTTAAATTGATTTCATTCCCTAACACAGGATGACGAGACTGGAGCACCGACACTGGATAGGGGAAGGTCTCGTACTTTCTAAGATATGAGGTCACTAACCTTTTCCTTTAATTTTCTAGCTCCGTTGGTTTAACACATGGGAATGTGTCAAAAAAGGGGGGGAAGTTGAGTTTTAACATCAAACAAGGGTTATATGAACATTTTTATGACTTTATTTGTGTTTTAATAACTTAGGTACGGTAAAACTTAGGCTAATAATGACCCAAAAGGTTTCCGGACTTTTTTAGAGAATCAGTGAGAAGCATAAATCATTATTTCCATGTTTAAGCATTGATAATTGAAATGAACT